TCGCAGTACGGGGCGGTGGTTTTGTCAAAATCGATTACTTAAACAAGATTAATGGCCACTGCAGGGGTGTCCAGATACACAAAGATTTCTTGTAAGTGGGTTATTGGATTTATAGGATTTTCTGCCCCTATCCGCTTTCTCAAGGGCGTTCAATCTAAGTGGAGTTGGAAGACAACCTGGAACTTGAGAAAACAATTTTGGAAAGTTATCGATCGAGCCCAAGTAAGTACTTTGCTGGTTGCGTTTAACCATTTAAAGGAGAAGAGTGGCTGAAAACTTTCCGAGGTAATCTGTAAGTGCTTCATTTGTTAAAGAACAAGCGAACAGGTACTCGCAGCCTCAGTGTCGACGCATCGTTCTTTTATCAACAAAAAATTCAGTTTCCAGAGGAAAATTGGTAGCTCGAAACGGGACGAACATTTAATAAGACGAATTGAGTCAAATTTCAACTCGGGAGACAGACCGAATGTCCTTCAAAGACGTCTTCTCGTTTCCATCGCCGTGTAGTCTGGTAGAAGTTTACCGACGTTTCGGAGGTCCTTACTGCCTCCATCATCACGGCGAATTTAATTTAAAATTCACATAATGTTACTTGGCAACAGTAATTTTTATTATGAAGAATGCCACATCTGACTTGCAGGTAATTAAACGTGGATTTGCCACGTAAATGCGATCTAGCTGTAAAGAAGCATATGACCCAAAAGCCGACCGCTTCGGTTAATAATATGAGCGCGAATCAACAACAGCGGGTGGCTGGCTGCCAGGCGCGCGCTACACACAAACGCTCGGGTCTCAGATATGTTTATTTCCAGGAAGCAACGTCACTACGAGCCTTTATTCCCTGATTATGTTCTTTCTCCCTTTGAAGCCAGAAGTCTTCGAAATAATATTTAAGAATTCAGTCCGTACCGCGAAGTAAACACTTCACTTCACCATTACGAAAATCAACTGGTTAACGCTGTTTTAAGTACGTAGTACATATGTGCCTTAAAGTACTAATTATATTAGTTACAAATGTTTCGTCAGGGGCATTACACACGATGCCCCGGGAAGCCGAAACATGTTTCATACATAAGTTTTCAGTTCACTGAGCCACAATTAAGTCCCGATTTGAAAACATAAAAATTGTAAAGTAAACTCGGACTGTGAAACCTCCATCTAGTGCCGATATTAAAAATTAGCGAAGTTCTACCTCCATTCTACCATACGTCTTCAAGGAGTGGTATTTAACTACGCCTAATTTCATTTTCTTATCTTAACAAATAGAGGTTATCAGTATGTGCAAGTACCTGACGTAGGAAATTTAAACCCAAGCGATTATAATTTAATAGACAATCCGTACGATAGATGATGCTTCAACACAGAAACCTAACAAATGTTACGTTCAACACATCCTGAACGTAAGCCTGTAAATGTCTTAATTATAGGAGATATTGCGTAAAAATCGTTCATATCAGTGACGTAAAGAGAGAGGACTTATTTTATTGAAGTTTGTTAACCTCTTTGAAGTTCTCTTCCGCGTGTGGATAAACCCGTAATCTCTACTTTCCTCTTCCTACGAACGCCTCCGTCTTCCAACAGAAAACTAACACTGTGCATATTTGGAAGAAACATGAATCAAACCAGACTTTAATTATCTGTGACTCAGCTCTCATACAGTGGATTCAAGTTCATTTAACTTTCTTCCAGACAAAAGCCACTGCGTGTTGACAGGTATGAGAGGCAATTAATGTGAAAAAGTAAGCCTATAATTTATTTAATGTAGTTGCCGTATAACTGGTCCTTGTTAATTAATAATATTTTCATACGACATCTCTTTACGAAGGAATTTCTGGGTACTGAATAGGTCCGGAGGTTCCAGAGACGAAATTCAAAACAGTCGCCGACTAAAGATATTCCTCTTTGATATTTCAGGTTCTCAAGGCGGCGAGAAGGAAGGCGAACGTCTTCTGGATTGTTGCGCCGTGTTTTCCGGTAGAAAATTACCGACGTTTCGGAGGCCCTTACTGACGGTGAGTCATGGTCTTCGTGATGGAGGCAGAATTTCTAAGCAATGATCCTTTTCTGCAATAACAGATATCTCTTTTCGTACGATCCTTCGGACACTCGATGCAGTCCTCGGCAGTAGAGCGCGGATGGCAAATCCACTGTCCTACACCTACTTAAGACTCGCTCGTTAAAAGCAAGAGACAGATGAAAGTCGTTTTATTTTCAATCGTAAGCCAAGAGCATGAAGGGAACAAGTCGCCACGAACACCCGCACAACATGCCAGGTTATTCCCCTCATAAAAACACGTCCTGGATGAGACCTTCAACGCGCAAAGTGTTATCTGCCTTGGCTATGACCCCGAAGAAGCTGACATATTTTCGACGACGCATGCAACCTTCAAATCTCTTATTCAAAATGGCCCCAATTTTGTTTCAACGTCCATTCCCCTTGAAGATGATAGGTATTTCCGTGCTACGAGCGAACTCTTACTCACTTACGACATACAGGAACCTGACCAGGTGAAATATCAGGTTCTCAAGGTGGCTAGTATAAAGACGGCCGTCTTCTGGGACGATGCGCCGTGTAGTCAGGTTGGAAGTTCACCGACGTTTCAGAGGTACTTACTTTTTCGATAACAGCCTTGACGATGGGGTAGTGAGCACCTCTGAAACGTCAGTAAATTTCTGCCAGACTACACGGCGCAACATTTCACATGACAGTCATTTTCTAGATTATTTCTCAGACCGAATGCAGTAAGACGCTGTTAAACTTCTCTTCAGTCTACCTTTATCAGAGGGACGAACGAGCACTGCCTGCGAACCTGCGGAGGAGAACATTTGTATTTCCCCTTAAAATGTAGTTTCTCTCACATTTTCCGTCCACTTTCTGTTCTCTCTCACTCATTATCGTTCGTGAGAGAGGAAGGAATGTAAAAATATAGCAAGAAGTGTACGCAGTAATTAAATAAAAAACAGTGCAAAGAGTAAACGAAACGAACTGGGGGATACGGGAAAGGAAAATATAAAAGGAAGAAACTATGAAAACCAGTAAAAAGAGATGAAAGAATTAATGATTATTATTCCCATCGTCAATATCCACAATTGTAAAATTCCGCGGTTTATTCGTCAGAATTTTCGATTCGCGTTCTGGAGGTCCTCTAGTCCAGTGGTATTCAACCTTGTTTGTTCGCGTACCCCCAGATATAATTTCTCTTCAACTTTGTACCCCCAAAGTCGTTGGTGTATAATTCAAGTTATACATAGTATATAATCTACATCTAAAATAAATTAAATAAAT